CCTCCACCTGGACAGACGCTGGCTTCTGGAAATCGCGGCAGACGCCCGCCTCTAGAAATGCGTTGCCAGGGAGGGGGGACGACAAAGTTCGAAACTCCTAGAAGGCCGGGCTTGTGGAACAAAGTAGAACTTGAGGAGCCGCCGCCGCGGTGACGACGTCCCGGGGTGACGTCACCAAGCGGTGTTTAAAAATGGGAGCTGGGGGGGGGGCGGTTGTGGGTGGCTCTAGACGCCTAAGGTGTGGGGTGTGGTGCTTTCCCGCTTCGGTGGTCCTTCCACTCACCCCCTCCCCAGACCTAGACTTCCCTTGTTTGCCTTTGGTACTCCTGGAGCACTGATAAGAGGGGGTTAATTTTTCAGCTATTCTAGTCATTCCTTCAAACAGAAAAATAAATAAGTCCGTATGACTCATCTTCGGGTTACAAACCAAAAGCCACCACTAAGTGGTTCTTTCCTTCCTTTATTTCTTTTTTTGATATGAAATTGAGCAAACAAAGGCAAATCCCCAAACTGTTGTGTAGCACATATTGGCCGAATTGATGAATGAGAATGCTCTAGGAAGCAGTAGATTTCTTTAGTGTGAGTCTTTTATTTTGTTTGGAGTGGAGCTTATGCAGTTCCATCAGCAACTTTTCTTGTCCAGATTGTGTATTCAGTTCCACTGGGTTTTTGTTGTTGTTCTAGCATAAGGTGCTAGAAATGAACCTTCGTAAAGTGGGAAATGCCTCACATTTCCAGCAGTTGTGGTTGTAGAAGTTCCGTGTACCCACACACCATTCTACGGGAATTCCATCCATTGGATGGTAACAACAGTAGAAGGGGAACTTGGTGTTCTAAGAATCTCTAAGAGGAAGGTTTGGGTATCTTCCCATCCGGGATCAGAGGGAGTACAGCTGCCAGGACAAATCTCGGATAACTATAGAATTTGTTTCACAGTGAGGTCCCTTGTTGGCATTTGCACACAGAGTAAAGGAGTCACATTCGACGAGAAACTTAAAAGAAGCTAAAAGAATCAGGTGTTTCTTTTCCTTTCTCTTTTAATTTTTAAGAATAGACTGTTGTTAAGCTAGTTCACTGTTATAATCAATACAGTAGGGCCTGTCATTGGCTCCCATAAAGATGACGTTACTTAATAAATGCTGCATCTGAATTTCCAAGTTACTTTCATCAGCCAAATGAATGAGCTCATCTGGAAACACATATATTCAAAACAACCCCCTGAACAGCCTTTGTAGATTAATCAAAGATAAATCGCATTTTCTATTTTAAGAGTCCTTTGATGAAGTTCCAAAATGTAACTGATTATTTCACTTAATTTTCTGTGAGTGATCCTGAATTGACGTTCTGTTGGATGTGTTTTAATGCTCACTATTTTTTGTTTAGCTTTTTAGGAAAATATATTTATACCTGGAGAGTAAGTACAAATTGCTCAGTGCAACTGGGTGTGGTAGAGCACGCCTATAATTCCAGCATTCAGGGAGGCAGAGACAGGCAGGCAGACCTCTCTGTGAGTTCAAGGCCAGCCTGGTCTACAAAGTCCAGGACAGCCAAGCCTACACAGAAAAGAAAAAAAAAAAGAGTTCAGTGCTGAAAACTTTTAATGTGTAATAGTTTCATTGAAGTATAATTGATATATATAACTCATATTTAAAATAAACTTAGCTGTTCTTAGTATAGCAGGTTGTAAAGCCAGGAGAGCACTCACTTTTAGAAAAGTACCCTTGGACTTACTAGATTTGTTTTCCTCCTGTTCCTGCCTTCCTGCCTCTAGGCCACCCAATCTATTTTCTACCTGTATAGACTTAACCTGTTCTGCACATTATATAGGAAAGAAATTTTAGTATGTGGTATTGTGTATTGCCTCATTGCCTTTGCATGCTGTGTTTAAGGTTCTCCCATCTTGCAGCATTTGTTAATACTTCATTCCTTATATTGCCAATCCTGTTGTACGTGTTTACTTTATTTGTCCATTTACCATTAGGTGGATATTTGGAGTGTTTCTCCTTTGTGGCTGGTATGAATAATGCTGCCATAAACATCTGTACATGTTTTTTGTCGGGCATATGCTTTAGATCTCTTGGGTTCATAGCTAGTAGAAATATTTTGGGAGAACTACAAATTTTTTTCCAAAATGGAGCTGTAGTACTAGATTTTAAAGTGTTTTTACTTTTCATGTGCATGAGTGTTTTGGCTACATGTATGTATGGCTACCACGTTCATACCTGGTACCCTCAAAGAGCAGAAGAGGGCCCTTTAGAACTAGAGTTACAGCTGGTCATCAGGGTATTGTGGGTTATGGGTATTAAACCTAAATCCTCTGCAAGAGTAGCATGTGGAGCCATCTTTCCAGCCGTGAGTGCCAGATTTTAAAGTTCTGTTTTCATTTCAAATCCTTTCACAGAGTTTTAAATTTAGCTAGAATTTGACTGATTTAGTAAAACCTGTGTAGTAGTTATTACAGTGATTCTTTTTGAGTGGTATCTATTTTATTTTTGTCGTCGGAAGCACAGTATGCTCTCCACTGAAGTACTACTTAAAACTAAGTAGAAAGAATCCCAGGAGTATTTCCTAATAGGTCTCTGAGGACTAGAAAACCTTAGGAATAATTACTAGCAATGAAATGCCAGACAAAACTGAAGGGAGAAGGACAGCTGGAAGTGGGCACATGTTGTAGCACTTTATTCTCCAGTTGTCAACGTGTGTGTGAGTATGTAGTGTCTGTTGTTGCTGTTGTTTTGTTTTTAAGAGAACTTTTGTCTTTACAGGGAAAAATGAAGAACGAAATTGCTGCTGTTGTCTTCTTTTTCACAAGGCTGGTGCGAAAACATGATAAGTTGAAAAAAGAAGCCGTTGAGAGGTTTGCTGAGAAATTGACTCAAATACTTCAAGAGAAATATAAAAACCACTGGTATCCAGAAAAACCATCAAAAGGACAGGCCTACAGGTGAGAATCAGACTGGACGGTGAACTGGATGAAGTGGCCATTGGTTTGTATAATGGCTACAAGGCCAGAGGGGTGAAGGATGTTTAGAATGTGCCTACGGTGGTTTTACCTGCAAAATACAAAGCTCTGGGGTGTCATGGTATCTTTTTGTTCGTTTTTGTCCAAGTTCTTGTTGATGGAGTCCTGCTGTTTAGCCTTGGGAGGCTGGAGCTATGAATGCACCAGTTAGCTCTTGTGAATAGGCTGGCTCCTGTACATTTTGCTGTTATTGAGGACACTTAGTGTTTTTCACAAATCTAGAGGATCCTAATTTTTCTGAAATGAGCATGGTAATTAAGAGTTAAAGGAAAGTAGTCTCCTTGTATCTAAAAGTAAAGTACACACTCCATGCTTTTCTTTTTCTTCTTTTTAAAAAGAGGGCATTGGTGGCTCACACCCTTAGTCCCAGCACTCAGGAGGCTGAGGCAGGCAAATTGCTGAGTTTGAGGCCAACCTGGTCTTAAGAGAGAGTTCTAGGACAGCCAGGGTGATTTAGAGAAACCCTGCCTCTAAAACCCAAAAAGAAGATAAAATGGTAAAGTAAGATAATCAGGCTGGGCCAGGCATCGTGGTAATAGCCTTTAATTCCAGCACTTTGGAGGCAGAGGCTGGTGGGTTTCTGTGAATTTTGAAGCTAGCCTGGTTTATATAGTGAGTTCACGACAGCAAGGGCTATGTAGAAAGACTGTCTCAACAAAGAAACAGAAAAAGGTAAACAACCTGACATGTTCTTAGTCTTCAGAATGATGATGGCATTTATGAAATCTTCTTCATGGTGTAAGTCTGGTGAAGGTAACTGGACTATGTGCCTCAAGTGGTAAATACTGGCTTGGGGATTTTAAATCAAGTCTTGAATGATTCCAGGTCTTCATGAGCTTGTACACACCATAGTCTCTACACTGAGAAGACTTTATGTGCAACTGACTTGTATTTTGATTTGTAAGTTAAAGAAGAACAAAGCAGGCTAGACTTTAAGCTGTAAAAAATAAAATAAAATGCCCTGACATGTTCACTTTTTACAGATGCATCTACTGAGAAGCCAAAGAGGTCATTTCCTAAACTAGCTGTCATACCATAAGGGGGATTATGGACATGTCTCTAAATTTAAAGTGAACCGCTAGTTAACTGACAACTACAGTAATCTATTTTATTTGAGCATGTTTTTATCTTTGGTCTTGGTTCTACAAACCAATACTTCTTCTGTGCTTTGTTGTAAAAGTCTTTTTGTTTAGTACTTAAAAGTATAGAACTCTTTGAGGAATCTAAGACCAAAGTGGAAATACAATTTTGTTGTTTCTCATTTGCTTAAAGCCAATTGAGGTTTAATATTTTGATGACAAGGGATAAACCAAGGTAGTTTCTGCATTTTTTTTTCATAATTTTTACATAAAGTTTTCTAGTAAGTTGGTCAAAATTATGAATAAAAGTAGGTATGTAGCTGTTGAGTTAGGTTCAAGTAATTTTTTAGCTTCTTATTTGATTGTCTGGTTTTTGTTTTGTCTTTTGTTTTTCCCTGTACGTATACTTATTTTCTGATAGTGAATAGTTTTTGTGAATTAGAGTTATTTAGGCTTTTTATGTTGGATGGCTGCTTTTGGAAGTGCCAAGCTACTGAAAAATAGAAGCACTGTCAAATTAATACAGCAAAATCAGAGTGTACCATTTCATTTCCATTAATTCTAAAATCTTGAGAAAAAGTCAAATAAGACTAAATTGGCATGTGATCAGAAGTATCAGTGAGTCATTTTTTAAGTAAAAAGCTATTAGACTTCATGGTAGATTGAAAAAAAATAAGAATGTTAAGTTTTAAATGTTTTCTACCTTTTATACAAATGTGATATTTGTAGAAGACACTTTGGCAATATAAGATCTGTAAAAATAGTCATATTTTGAACATTAAGTTTCAGAATCTTACCTGGAAACATAATCAGAAATGCAAGCAAATACGGATGAATACAGAAGTCTCTTACATGTTATAATGGGAAAAAAATTAACCATCAGCATTTAGTAAATAATATACTGTTTTCATGCAGATTTTATAATCTTGCATTTGAAGAACAGTTAATAGAAAAGTAGTTCCAGTATGTAGGGTTAAAAAAAAAGCATAAAAATGTGATATATCTAAATTTGCTATAACAAATAAGTTATATCTAATATTAAGGCTTAAGCATCACCATCACTCTTACGGTGAATATAGTATATAAAACATGAGCTCCACAGTCTTAACTGCTTCTGATGGTGTGATGCATTGGACTTGAATTATCCTATATAACATTAGAATCTGTAGGGTAAGTCAAAAAAATGAAGAACATCTTACATATACAGTTTTTATATACAATAAATTTTATGTTCAGAAAAGTAATTTTTTACTCTGAATTTGCTAGTTTTAATAGTGCCATTAAAAATCGAGAGGGACTTTGGATGAGCTTTTGTTAAGAGGGGGTTTTGTATGCTGTAGATCTAAAGTTGTTCATACACATTAGGTGATCACATTATTTTCAAACTACACATGAACTTTGGGGTTGGTGGCCTGGATCTGACATCTAGAGTCAAGGGTGTGTGATATTGGACAATTCCTCAACTGCCTCCTTTTTTTCCCTTACAAAGTGAAAATAATATCTAGCTCATGAAATAAAAAAAAAAGTTAATTGGAAACTGGGTATTGCATAGTACATGGTCAAAAAGAATTACTATGTTTTAGGAATATTGTTGTCTTAGGAGAACTTTTTACAATGAAGATTAAAATCAACTAATGAAACAATTTAACTTTAAAACTAAATATCACATTAGTACTGTACTAGTAATTAAAACACTGGTTGAGAAGTCTTGTTGGGTTACAGATTTATCACTTACTATTGGGTGCTTGAGATTGAACTCAAGGCAGTTGCTGTACCACTCAGCTCTCTCCACCATTTTCTAAGTAGCACATTATAATGGATAGTCTCATTGTCAGTTGATTTCTATTTCCATATTTTGTATCTTCAGGTATGTAGAGAAATGAAACAGCTTACCTAAGCTCACCTAGTAGATAAATTCTAGGAATAGCATAATGCCAGGTTATCTTAGTTGAGTATTGGTTGAAAACAGTAAATATATTTCATCTTTTTCATTGTTGCTACATTTTTCTACTTACTCAGAATGCATGTTTTGAAGTACAAGTTTATTCATGCTATTGTTTATTCACTGGGGGAAAGTAGATTTTTATTTTTGAGGACAGTAGAAGGGGACAACAGGTTAGGCAGTGAGTATGGTGCTGCCTGCAGCTGCTAGCTATATTTTCTACATTCCAGTGGTTGAACATGGAATTTCTTAGGTTAAAATGTAATGGGCTTTATTAATTAATTTTTTTCTAACTTATTTTGGCAACTTAGATAAAAAAGTTCCGTATAACAGAAGTAAATAGAGGCAGTAATGATTCAGGATTACATGTTAATCATAAGTATATGATGTGCATGGTCCATGAATCATTCTTTATTTTTGAAGTAATTATAAATGAAGTAAAAGCTGTCTCCCTTAAGATTTAACCTTATTACCCAGGATGTAAAAACATGTTAGTGACAATAAAACTTGTCACAAAACAAATGCAATAATATTTGAGGCACTTGTTGGAGTCTTAGTAGTTACAGATTTTATCAACTCAGTCTTCAAAACTTTATAATGTCAGGCTGACGATATAGTTCAGTTGCTAGAGTACTTGCCCAATATACATGAAGCTTAGGATTTGATCCCCAGCAATAAACCAAGTGTGAGGGTTTATACCTGTAATCCAAGCATTTGAGAGGTAGAAGCAAGAGTAACATCCTTAGCTCAATAGCAAGTTTGAGGTGTGCCTGTGATACATGAGACTCTTGTTCCCCAACGCCCAGCAATTGTCAAGAGCTTTAAGTAGCTATTTCACATCTGTGCTTATTTGATGTACATGTGCAATTCTGTAGTCTCTGATAAATAAAGGGACTGGTGACTTCCCACAGGCATCTTTCTTCTGTTTTCACCAGGCTGGGCATTCTTCGTGTTGCCTTTCTTGTCTGAAGTTCACACCTGAACTTCAGGATCTTCATCAGGGTATTTTTATTACACACTTTCACATAATTGATATGAAAGATTTACAGTTGAGGTTCAGTTATAACTATTAATCTAATTCTGTTTTGTTATAGATGCATTCGTGTTAATAAGTTTCAGAGAGTTGATCCTGATGTCCTGAAAGCCTGTGAGAATAGCTGCATCTTGTACAGTGACCTGGGCTTGCCAAAGGAACTTACACTCTGGGTGGACCCATGTGAGGTGTGCTGCCGGTGAGTCTTCAAGTTTAACAGCTGAACTGATTTTACCAAATTTTCTCCTGTGTGTCTGACCTGTATCGCTTTACATCCAAGATCTGGCAGTTTGGCGTTCTCAGAAAAGATTTCTAAAATTGCCCTCTTAAAGTGATGATGAAGAGCTATTGAATATTTTATACCATGAAGAACTCAGAAACAGGTTTTCCTAGAACTTTGCCAAGGAAAGTTTTATTGTACACCAAGAAGCTGAATGTAGAACTTACATACCTAATCCTCTCTCACGGTCTTTCATTCATGTGATACATCCCTTTATTCAAATTAGGAGCGCTGATTCCAAATAAAGGAGGATAGTGACCTTTAGTGCCTCTTATTTCTTATTTTAGATAGCTTCGTAGCATTTTAAAGCTTCTATTCTCATAATAGAAATTGCTTCTCTTATCTCAAACAACTATAAAGGGGTGTTAGATATGAAATCTATTTAAAGTTCTAATAAAAACATAACCTAGGCACTTGTGGGTTTTCAAAAAATTAAAGCAGCATTCTTTAAATAGTTCACAGGAGAACAATGGAGAAGAAGTAGTTATCAAATTAAAACATAGTATTATTTGTGACAAATTACAAATATCTACAAATAGAGTTGAAGATAACAGGAAAAGATGACAGTGTGGGTGTCACTTGATCTGCTAGTGACGGTTGAGGGTTGTCACTAGGTGGCAAGTTGGGGAAGAAGAAACAGCATGAGCTAGTAGCATGAACTCCCACAGTTTTTCTGAGGTAGTGCCCCTGGGGAGCTTCTCTCTCTCTCTCTCTCTCTCTCTCTCTCTCTCTCTTTCTCTTTCTTTGAGAGTACAATTATCTTGGCCTCTATTCATTACAGTGAAGATATGAATCTAGCTGTGTACTGTAGAGATGATCACAGCCTTTAACTTCATATTTAAGGAAGATGAAAATGAAGATAAACTAATGCTAAAAAAAAATGCATGTTCTTCTAAATTTTACCAGGAAAACTCCTGATAAACTTGACTTGCCAGCACTTGATGTAAAAGTATTATTGCTGTGGGAAATTTTCAGGGGAGATACAGGTTTATGGAAGTGGAATTTCTTTAACATTCTTGTTTTGCTTGAGGGAAAAGGAAGACTAAGCTGTGTTGAATTTTGGTCAGAGATATCAGAGATAGTCAACATTTTTAGATTGTGTGATTAGTTGAGAGGTCAGTGTTCAGCTGGAGAGGTGGCTCAGTTCGTTAAGAACTCTGGCTGCTCTTCAGAAAACTGGGTTCAGCACCCACATGGTAGCTCACAAGTGTCTGTACCCGTAGTGTCAGAGCTACAACGCCCTCACACAGACATTTGTGCAGGCAAAACATGAAATAAATAAAGATAAATAGTCATTAAAAAAAAACCTCAAGGATACTTGCGTATTAGAGTTAGGGGACGTTACCCATTGAAATCCTGCTGAAGACCTCAGTTTACAAGAATTAAAAAAGTGACTATCATAATGTTGCTGTGTTGAATCCAGTCCTCCCAACCTTTTTAAATACTTTTATTTTGAGTCAGTAATGACATAGATTCACTAAAAAGATTTATTGGCAATACACTTACAAAATTTATTCCTAATATCAGATGTTACAAATTTTAGGGTCTGTGAGATATGTAGGATCCATAATGGGGCATAAACCCCATTATTTGAACTCTCTTAATTGCTTTGTTATTTCTTTCAGTTTCTTTCTATGACAAACTATACATTCTTAATACTTCTCACAGAAGATACATTGTGTATCTGTTTGTTGCCTGAATTTCTGTGCACTGTGAATGCCTGGTGCCTGAAAAGTCCAGAATAGGGCAATGGAACCTTGCAGCAGGAATACAAATAATTGCAAGCATATGGATGCTGGAAATTGAACCCAGGTTCTCTGGAAGATCAGCAAGTGATCTATGCCATCTTTCCTACCTTATTATTTCATCTACCTCTTCTCTTTCTTCTTCTACCACCTCCTCCTACTCTTCCTTTTTCTTTTCTTTTCCTTTTTTTTTTTTTTTGGAAAAGCAAGTTCTCTCTGTTGTCCTGGCTGCCCTGAAACTCACTATGTAGAGCAGGCTGGCCTCAAATCTCCAGAGATCTATTTTTCTCTAAGATACAAATCTTATAGTGCTCATTGGAACGGGCAGATCCTCTCTACTGCTTACCTGATTGTACTATAAACAACTTCTTTAAACACTAAGTTATGTGAACTGTGAGGCAAATAGCCATTACCAACTTCTTCCTCTCTACAACATGGCATGATACAGTACACATAGCTTCGACATGCTTTTTGAAAGTACTTAAAGTTTGGTATTTAAACATGAAAGTTTTGGTTGTACTTAACTAGACAGTTCATTCTTTTTTTAATTAATTTTTTATATTAATTACAGTTTATTCACTTTGTATCCCAGCTATAGCCCCCGCCCACATTCCATCCCAATCCCACTCTTTCTCCCTCATTTCCTCCCATGCCCCTCTCCAAGTCCACTGATAGGGGAGGACCTCCTTCCCTTCCATCTGACCCTAGCCTATCAGGTCTCATCAGGACTGGCTGCATTGTCCTCCTCTGTGGCCTGGCAAGGTTGTTCCCCCCACAGGGGGAGGTGATCAAAGAGCCAGCCACTGAATTCATGTCAGAGACAGTCCCTGTTCCCCTTACTGCGGAACCCACTTGGACACTGAGCTGCCTTGGGCTACATCTGAGCAGGGGTTCTAGGTTATATCCATGAATGACCCTTGGTTGGAGTATCAGTCTCAGAAAGGACCCCTGTGCCCAGATTTTTTGGTTCTGTTGCTCTCCTTGTGGAGCTCCTGTCCCCTCCAGGTCTTTCTATCTCCCCTTTCTTTCATAAGATTCCCTGCACTCTGTCCAAACTTTGGTTATGAGCTTCAGCATCTGCTTTGATACACTGCTGGATAAAGTCTTTCAGAGGCCCTCTGTGGGAGACTTGTGTCCTGTTTCCTGTTTTCTCCCTCTTCCAATGCATGTCTTGTCTTTCATAGTGAGGATTGATCATCTTACCCAGGGTCCTCCTTCTTGGTTAGCTTCTTTAGGTAACAGTTCATTCTTAATAATGCCAGATAATGAAAACCTACTGTGGTTTCATCATATTAGTTTATGAAAATCTTCACACTCAGTAACTACTAATAGGTTTATATATGGTTATGACTTTTCCCCAAACTGGCTACTGTGTAAAGCTATTTTTGTTCTTTTGTTTGTTTCTTTCTCTTTTTCTTTCTGAAATAGAGCCACACATTCATATCTATACTATGTAGATCAGGATGGTCTCAAACATGCCTCTACCTTCCTTGTGCTATATTACAGCCATGTACCACTATGCCTGGTGTGTTGTTGCTTTTTTTTTTTTTTATACAAATTAGCTTAATACTGTAGTGTATACCCTCTGATCAAAGAATAACATAACAACATGATCTCTGTAAGGTAATAAAGAACACTGAGATAAGGAAATGTATGTTTGAAACCAAACTGGAAATATAAATATTCTAGAAATTAGAACAATGCTGATATAAAAGAAAATTGAAAAAATCATTCCATCTTAAAAAAAGTAACTTGGGGCTAAAGAAATTGTTCAGATCTTGTACTGCTTTTCCAGAGGACTCAGACGTTTGGTTCATAGCACATATGTAGGGCCACTCACAACCAGCCTTATACTCCAGAGGATATGATGCTTCTGGCATTCAAACATACAGCACTTAGTATGTCCACACCCACAAACATAAACATAACTAAAATTAAAAATTAACACATTGGTACACTTGAGACCAAGGTGCTATTATAAAAATGAGATGTATTTAGATAGAACATTATTTCGTGTCATACAGATAACATAAAGCTTAGTAGTTTATCAGTTGGTGAAATATTTGAAAATACAGAATAAGTAACATTTTTTTTCCTGTGATGAGAAAGTCTAAGAATAGCTGACAACTTAATCTGTTCAATATTACTTTAAAACTTTTTTGTAATGTCTACCTCTTTCTGTTAAAGGAGCAATAGGCAAATATTGATTTGCTTCATAGTAACTAAATTAGCTTTTAGCAATACATCATTGAGAATGGAAAGTTTAAAAGTTGCCCTTTTTTAATTCTTATAAGGAGTTAACTGTATATTCTTAATATTACAGGAATATAGTTAGTAGTTTCGTTTAGCATAAAGCCCTCATTCCAAAGCACTACGAAGGCAGAGATGCACAAATTATTTGGTTACCAAAAAGATCTGAGTTAGTTCAACAGATCCATTTAATTATTATGTGCCTACCTTTGTTTTAGATCTCTGTTTCTACAAAGACAGTAATTTGTTTTTCAGTAAGTTTCTTGCCTTTTTATTTTCCCTGAATTTTAACTCCATTAATGGGCAAAAATGAAGATACACTGCATGTATTCTATGTTATGAGTAACTCAGCCAAACTGCTAAGCATTTAGAGATAACAATTGCTAGAAAGATGGCTCTGAAGTTGAGAGTGCCTCTGGATTCCCCATCCACTGGATGGGACACTAAGACCAAAGGAGACTAGCTGGTTTGCATTTGGTCATACTAGCTTCAAGAGTCATGCTTTTTCTATTTCAGTCTATGAGGTTGAGGACCACTGGCCTCTTAATTTTCTTACTTTATTTATTTATTTATTATGGGTATTTTTTTTTCAGACAGGGTTTCTTTATGTAATAGCCCTGATTGTCCTGGACTCACACTGTAGAACAGGCTGGCCTCAAACTGCCTGCCTCTGACTCCCAAGTGCTGGGATTAAAGATGTGCCACACTCTGCTTGACTTTTTACTAGCATTATATTCAAATTCCTATTGCGAATTCTACCTTAAAATTTTAGCCATTCTAATAAGCTTCATGGTTTTATTTTGTTTTCCTAGTGATCAATGATAGAAGGCATCATTTAAAGTAGTTATCTGTTGTGTGTGTGTGTATGTTAATATGTTAGTCTTTTGCTTATTTTAATTGGAATGCCTTTTAAATTATAACTTTAAAATGCATGTGTATGTCACAGTATGTTTTGTGGGGCTTAGGACTAGTTTGAAAAGTCAATTCTCTCCTTCATTCATGTGTGTTGGGGGCTTAGATCTATGTTGGAGAGTCAGTTCTCCCCTTCTGTCATATGTGTCCCAGGGATTGAACTCAAGTCATGAGACTTGGTGGCAAGTACCTTTATGTGCTATGCTATCTCACCAGATACATTGTCTTCTTATTCATGGGTATTGAGAGTTATCTTCCTCCCTCCCTCCCTCCCTCCCTCCCTCCCTCCCTCCCTCCCTCCCTCCCTCTCTCTCCTTCCTTCCTTCCTTCCTTCCTTCCTTCCTTCCTTCCTTCCTTCCTTCTTTCCTTCCTTCCTTTCTTTCTTTTTCTTCCTTTTCCCTTCCTTCCTTCTCTCTTTCTTTCTTCATTTCTTCATTCAGTTTACATCCCAATCAAAGCCCCCTCCCTCATCTCTTCCTGGTCCCATCTCCCTCCCATTTCCCATAAATCTCTCCCCTATTCCTCAGAAAAGGGGAGCCCCACCACCACCAACCGACCCAGCACATCAAGTCCCATCAGAACTGAGCATGCCCTCTTCTTCTGTGGGCTGGTGAGGCAGCCCCAGCAGGGAGAAGTGATAAAAAAAAGCAGGCAAAAGAGTCCATGTCAGAGACAACCCCTGTTCCCCTTACTAGAGCACCCACATGTAGTACAAGCTGCCCATGAGAGTTGCTTTCTAAGGGTGTGCTTTTGGGTAGGTGAGGAAAAGGGAAGGATCTGGCAGGAACTGGGGGAGGGGAAACCATAATCAAAATATGTTGAATGAAGAAAATTTTATTTTAATTGAAAAAAGAAAATTTGTGAAGAAAAAAAATGTTGCTTTTCTAAAACTACATTAAGATATTATATTTCTGCTTTGTAAACATTTCCTCACAGTTGGTAACTTCTCTTTTATTATAATAATATCTTTTGAAGAGTAAAATATTTTACTTTCTAAAGTCCAGATTGTCAGTTTGCTATTTGTCTATGTTTTATAAATTAAATCTATCTAATTCAGGTGCTCAAGAAACATTTTATGTTACAGGTTTGATATTTAGGCCTACCATCCATCTTCAGTTGATTTTTATGTAGTGTAGGTACAGACTGAAGTATTGGTGGTGGTTTTTGTTTTTGAATGTACACATCTGTTTTAAGAAGAATTCTTAAGGTGATGTTTTCCTAGAAATCCCAACATAATATAATTCAAGCAGAAGTCCTTTATCATCCTCATCATTTTTCCCTTTAATCTCAGTAATTGTCAGAAATCATTTGTCTGAAAATGCAAAAAAAAAAAAACACAGGCCCTGTCAAAATAAGTATGGGATATTCTAGTTGATTTTGGACAGTGGCCATTTTTAAATACATTATAAACTTTTTACTGTAAAGAAAATATCATTGATGTACACAAAACATAATAAAATGTGGATTGTGATGTTTCAAACCATTTTTTGTTTGATGTTAGTGGAGAAGGAAGTATGCACTTTTACTTACACTTCAATAGAGTAGAAGTAAGACAATTATAGCCTACTTGTGCTTTTGATATTAAATGTGCAGTCCAGCTCTGAGTTGGTTCCTTCATTGCCTTGGAAGAGTGGCATGACTAGACATGTTTAATTGTTTTATAAACCTTTCTTGCTTTTTTTTAATGATATGTATGTTTTTTTGTTTGTTTATTTTAATGTATACCTAGGTATGGAGAGAAAAACAATGCATTCATCGTTGCTAGCTTTGAAAATGAGGATGAGAACAAGGATGAGATCTCCAAGAAAGTTAGCAGAGCTCTTGATAAAGTGACCTCTGATTATCATTCAGGATCCTCTTCTTCAGATGAAGAAACTGGCAAGGAAGTAGAAGTGAAGCCAAATTCAGTGACTGCAACACCAAGCCCTGTGTACCAGGTAACCACACAATACACTCTGTTACTGGGCAGCAGCAAATGACAAGACGTTAGTGTGCCTGGTCAGATTTAGCTGGCCACAGTTAGGCTGTCCAGGGAGTCTTTAGAAAATTCTGAATCTCAAGTCTTCACTCTTACACACATACTGATAGAAAGCTGCTTCTCCGAGGTTCAGATTGGCATTCTATTCACTTTACCAAAAGTAGACTCCATTCCTCAGTGACTAGGAAAAGTATATATATTTTTAAGAAATATGCTGTCCTCAAAAAAAAAAAAAAAAAAGTTCATAATAAGTATTCCTGATTGTTTAAAAATTCCTTTAAAAAAAGGCACCAGTAACTTTTTTAGTCTTTTGATACTTCATTTATTTCTTTAGGTTAATTTTCTTACTATTCTTCCTTTTTTTTTTTTTTTTTTATCATTAAAGAGAAATTTTACTGAATTGTATTTTGACTAGTGTTTTTAGGTAAAAACGAAAAGAAGGTCTCTCGTGTTGCTCTGACTGTGGAAACATCTTACAGCAAATGTGTTTGCATTACAGATTCATTTATGTTATTATATCTATGTATTAAAAAACATTAACTTTCTAGAAATTTGATTAGCAATATTGTTTAATAAAACAAATTTTATGGTCTCATATTTTAGTATAATTTAAAGTATACCTTCATTTATTAGTCTGAATTAGATGTAACTTAATGTGCAAGTTTATAATGAAATCAGTGCTAGAATGATACAAAAACTTGTACATAATGATTAAGATGCTTTTGAGTTTATGCCAGAGACAGCCCCTGCTCCCCTTATTAGGGAACCCACTTGGAGAGTGAGTCTGGCTACATCTGAGCAAGGGTTTTATGTTCTCCCCATGCATGGTCCTTGGTTGGAGTATCAGTCTCTGCAGGGCCCTTTTTTAGGGGGATGATGGGGGCTCTGTTGGTCTCCTTTTGGAGCTCCTGTCCCCATCATGTCTTTCTGACTCCCCCTGGGGGGTGCAGCCAGTTCTGATAGGCTAGGGTCAGATAGAAGGGGAGGAGGACCTCCCCTATGAGTGGACTAGGGGGAGGGTATAGGAGGAGAAACGGGAGGGATTAGAAAGAGACGAGGCCATAGCTGGGATACAAGGTGAGTAAACTGTAATAAATAATTTTTAAAAAAAAATTTTAAAAGGTGCTTTTGAGTATGACAAACTAAGCTTTCAAATTTATATAATGATATAATGAACATTTCCCCATTGAAATTAATTTCTTCCTCTCTTGATTATGTAATTGTGCTTCCTTGGATTGACAGGAAGGATAGTTATAAAGATTATTGTATATTAGATATGTATTTTTATAAAGTTTTTATAAAACTTTTCTCTTTTGAGGGAAGGTGTCACTATGTAGCCTAATTGGACTAGAACCAACTGCATAGACTGGACTGGTCTAGACTCGCAGAGATCCCACCTCCTCTGACTCCTAGATACGAGGATTAAAGGCATGTGCAACCACATTCAGCAAAACTTTAAAAAATAAACATTTATTAAAACTATACAAAATTGCAAATCAAGACAGTAAATATTTAAGAGTATAAAACAGAATTGGGAATTCTTCCTTTCTCTCCAGCTCCCTCTCCTGTCTCTTTCCATTCAGTGTTATCACCAGGCTTTGCTTTTTGTTTTGTTGTTTCTAAGAGTGGTTGCCTTTATATCATTTTTCAATTCTATGCCATAAATATCTAGGGCATTTTTTCTCTGTGTATGTTGCCTTATATATTGCAAATTGCCTTTATTGAATTTCCTGGAAATCATCTAAATGTGATGATTTTTAACTTGATTTTGTTTTTACTCAGTCAAGCAAGAATGTAAGTCCCACTGACTGCTCTTAATTCTTTGTAAGTAAATTGACCTTTAAGTTTAAAATCAATTTACATTTTTTTTTGAACCAATTGGCATTTATTTTTCCCCATCACACAAGAATATTAGAAAGGTGTGGAAATTAAGGTATCTTACACACTTTTTTGATAAATATTTCTCTCTGGCATTTTCTATTCCTCAACAAAAGATTTCATAGCAAAAAAAAAAAAAAAAAACAGAAAAACTTCTGTCTAAGCCCTGTGTAGAGAGTTGATATAATTGTTTTTTGGTAATTAGTTTTTAAAGTATATTCTGGAAATAAGTCCTTAACACACAGGTATGATGAGAATATATCATCTGTGATTTTGACTTTATTTTCTAATTGTGGCATGGTGGCATACACAGGAGACAAGAGGCAGGCAGATCTGTGAGTTTGAAGCCAGCCTCGTCTACAAAGCAAATCCAGGACAGCCAAAACTACAAATAGAAACCCTGTCTCGGGAGGGGGGGGGAGCAAAAAGCAAAAAATCGAAACAAAAAACAAGGAATCTAAAGGAGGATTATCTGATAAAGACCACATTCATATTTCCTTTGGGTGTAGGGTCTTTGTACTGTAGTGTTTCTAGAAATTGCTTTTACAGTCAGTTCTCAATCTTTCCCAAGTTGATCTTTGGACTTAACTCAATCAAAATTCCAAAAGTCCATTTCTATTAAGTAATACATTGGTTCTAAATTTTTAAGAAAATAAAATTTCAGGGCTGCCATGAATATAAAACTGTTCTGTGTATCAGGATTACTAATGGTTTAAGGATATACAATGTGTCATTGGAAAAAAAAAATAGAAACTCTAGAATAAAGTCTCTTTTATACATTTAGCCCACTCGCCACTCTTACAGCAGAATACCAGAGCAATTAAGGTGGAAAGTCTTGAATGGGTTCTAAAACGAGGGAAAAGGCCAAAATGGATCTAAGTGCTGCCAGGTAGCCATGCACCCATGTAAGAAAACTAAATGGTTAATGTTTTATATATATGAAGAAATCTGGAGAATTGTCTCGTAAATGTCTCCCAGGGGTCACAAAAGAAAAGTTGATTTTTATCACTAAACATTTTTAATCACCAAAAGAAAACATAAGAAAATGAACGACCAAATCATAGAAAGTATATTCTCATTATACGTAGGTGTTATACTTTTTTAAAAAACCACTCCAAAAAATTAGTAAGCCTGGAACAGCAGAAGGATAACAAGGGTACAGCCAGCTTGGGCAAGTGAGACCCTGTCTCAAAATAAAAACAAGAAAAGAGAACTGGGGGAATATAGCTCAGTGGTACAGTTATTTATCTAGTATGCACAAGGTCCTAGGTTCTATTCTCAGTATTGCAATAATAATAATAGCAATAATTATAGTAGTAAGGCACAAATAAACCTAATTAAGAAATAGACAAAATTAAGAATGTGCAAAAATTGTATAAATGGCCAGTAAGCACATGCAAATGTTGGATCTCATTTGTCCTCAATGAAACACAAATGAAATTAAAACAAAATGAAACATGACTTTTTCTGAGTTAAACAGTCTAGCAGCATCAGCTGTTGGTGAAGAACAGAAGCAGCCAGATTTCATAAGGAGTATAAAGTGATGACACCACTTGGAAAAATTGACACCTCTCCCTCTACTAGTCAGCATTCTACTCCTCGGTATTATTAAGAAAAATAAAAATACATCTTGAAAGCCAAATGTAAAAACTTCAGGTGTATATAGATGTGTTCACAGGTACAAATGTAGATTTTCCTTTTCAAAATATACACAAAATTGGTTCATGTCATTGTACCATCTGAATTAAATGTTCTACAGAATCTTAAATATTAAATAAAACATCCCATACTTGGAAGGACAGATTAGAACCAGAAAACCTAAGGAAAGAATTTGAAAACTGCTGATGAGAGTTTAAATAATGTGAACTTGATATTGCCTACCTGACTTACTTTTAAGATTTTTGTGCCCAAGTACTAAACAGGCTAAAGCATAATGATCTGCAAAGTTTCATCAAAATATTTGGCCTTTGTTCTTAAGACAATTATTTTTTTAGTAGGCTTTGGCTTGGGGCATGAAAATTTGTGCTTCAAAGCTCCCTTAGTGACTCCTTACTTAACCAGCTATAGAAACTTGCCTAAAGCCCTAAAACCTGTTGTATTCTTAGGGCTTACCATTCATTCTATGTTTGCATCTTTGATACTTGGAAGATCTTTTTTCATTTATTTAGTTTTTTTTTTTCTCCATTCAGAAAGTACACATGAGCTGTTAATGAGGTGTGGGTTTTTGTTTCTTAACATATTTAATTGTAACCGTAGGGATGAGGCCTAGTCTTAAGGTGAATGGTAGGTTTGTGTTTAGTGAGCGGCCTAAAACTACTTAGTTTTTACGGAAAAAGTAGATTCTTTTTCCTTCGAATATATTTAATGCTTTCTCTCTCCTACAGATTTCAGAACTGATATTCCCACCTCTTCCAGTGTGGCACCCATTGCCCAGAAAAAAGCCAGGAATGTATCGAGGGAATGGCCACCAGACTCACTACCCTCCCCCTGTTCCATTTGGTTATCCAAATCCAGGAAGGAAGAATAAACCATACCGCCCAATTCCAGTGACATGGGTACCTTCTCCTGGAATGCATTGTGACCGAAACCACTGGATTAATCCTCATATGTTAGCACCACACTAGCTCATTTTGATTTGTGCTGTCATGTTGATAGAAAGGAAGACTATACCTTACTATATACTAAAAGTTCATACTTGTAGTGAAGTTAGATGGACCAGACCATCAAACTTATTTTTATAGAAAAGCTATTGAGAATACTCTTTCTTAAAAAAGTATATATATATGCACTTTAGATATATTAAAATAGTTTGAGAAACTTTATTAAAGTTAGTCAAGTGCCTGAGTTTTTAATATTGGACTTGAGTATTTATATATTGTGCATTGACTCTGTTGGATACAAAAACACTGTAGGAGTGGGCAATGTGTTCTAGCACCTTTGAGCATCTACTTTATGGAGAGTATATAAGTTATTTATACACAAGGAAATCTATTTTATGTCATTATTTAGAAGAATTGCGTGAAATCATGTAGTTGCAAATAAAAAGTAGTTTGAGGCATGACAATGTGTGGTTTTGTTCTGTACATAGTAAAAGGAGAAGGCAGAAAAGATTCTTAGGAAAAGAAATAATTTAAAACTTTTCTTAAAAAACTTTATTGAACATATGTTCCCCCAAAGCCACATATCAAAATATACATGTAAAAAAATTTTACTGGCAGTAGCTAATTGAAAATATAAATACAGTAACTTTCAGCTATCAAAATCAGTATGTAAATGGGACCTTTGTCACCAGGATTTTGGCCCCTAATAATTTTATAGAACATCTGAGTTACATGCCTTTTACCATTAAAGAAAGCAGAAATGTTCTTGTAGCCGGTCTTAATCTACCTTGTAAACTTGGTACAGTGGGAGTGCCTGTAATTCCATAACTTCAAAGGTTGAGGCAGAAATCAAGACAGCAGGGCTCACCTCAGCTACATGGCAAATTTGAAGCCAGCCTGGGCAAGATGATATCCTTTCTCAAAAAAATTAAAAACCAAAAAAAAGAAAATTGTACTTTTTTTTCAAAAAGCATTAGTCTTTACATGAGTTTTAAAGTAAAAAGTACAGTACTTCAGATTCTTCAGTAGTCCTTCATGTTTATACCACTGTAATCCCATCGGTCTTATAAGCATACGAGAACTAAAAAAAAAAAAGGAAAATTCATCTGAGTTTGGGTGTTGTTAAGGTAAACTTATAAATTAAGACCAGTAATACTTTCCCCATCACTAATCTTTATGTTTTTACTCTGAAATTATTGAAATTAACCAAGAGTGATCACAACCTCCTAGTAACTGATTAAAAGACTTTGGCTCATCCAAACATTCCTGTTGTCAATGTTTCTTTGTTTCATTTAGTTTGTTTTGGTTTTATGAGATAAAGTGCCTCTACATAGCTCTAGCTGTCTTGGGACTCACTATGTAGAACAGGCTGGCTTTAAATTTACAGATCACCTGCCTCTGCTTCCTAAGCACTGAGATTAAAGGTGTTTGTAAACATGCCCAGCTCTGTTGTCATTTGTTAAGATAGCAAGAATGAAGTTAACTGCTCAGTGATGTGAAACAAACAGCAGAAATTCCTAATATTCTGACTTTTAAGCTATAATGATTTTAGCATTTCTAAAGGATAATATCAACTATTCCCAAGTTTTTTCCTACTTAGTATCACAAGGAAGTTTAGTTTTAAAATGAGAAGGGGTGAAGGGAAATATTTTGAGTTAGGACTCTTGTCTCCCAACCGCTGATCTCAAATGATCAGCACCCCAGTGCAGGGACTGCAGCCTTGTATCATCTTGGCTCCATTGAAAAATGTTTAATAGGCCCATTGCTGTTGTGTTGTTAAGTACTGGGAGATTTTTACAGAGAACACAAACACACAGCTAGTGTTGGGAAGTTTGGAATACTTCTGTCAGAGAAAACAGCATTTGTTCTATTTGCTTATCTTACGGGTATATGAACTTGTTGGACAATTTGAAGTGTAATAGCCATTCAGGAAGAGAAGCTGAATGTTAGCACTTAAGAAATTACTAGAACTCTGCACCTTACTACAAAAGATAACTCTAGTCAGTGAGATGGCTCGGTGTATAAAGGCACTTGCCACCGAGCCAGATAACTTTGCTTTCTTGGGCCCACATGGTGGTAGGGGGCACATCCAGCAAGTTGTCTTCTGACTTCATTTGCATGGTGTGGCACCTGCACATGCCTGTGCACACACACAGATACAGAAATACAATAGTGAATTCTTAGCCCTGACAACTAAGTGGCCAATCTTGTGGAAAGCTATTATTTGTATTTATTTGTCTTTATTTTATGTGAATGGGTGTTTTGCCTGCACATATGTCTGTGCCTATGGGTCCCCATGCCTAGGGAAGCCAGAAGAGGACATTAGATCCTCTGAAACTGTGGTTACGGATGGTTCTTAACAGGGATGTATATGTTCTGGAAACCAAACCTCAGTCCTCTGCAAGAACATTAAGTATTAACCAATAATCTATCTCTCCAGCCCTGGGAAGGCTCATTTTTAATTTAATTGCATTTAAATAATTTTCTGTATAAGACTATGAACTTTATTCATCCTCTACCTGGTTTTAGTTTCAGTTCATATAATATAGCTCTCAGCAGGAAAGCTTTTCAGGTCTATAACTATTGAAAACAAATTACTATTTGGTAATCGGCTCCTAAGTTTTGGTAGGCATATGGTTCTCTTTATGGAAATTACAACTAAATTAATGTTTCCCTTACAGGATTGATCTAAATGAAGACTGGCAGCAGCTGCATAATTTCAGCTTAAAAACCTTATTAGAAAGTTTCAAGTAGGAGTGGTTTCTGAATGAATTTGTTTTAATTTCCCATTTTGTATTTGTAGGCATAATAGCAAAAGGTCTGAATTTTAGAGGTTAAGTTTTCAAACATGTATGTTTGAAAAATGTAAATTCTTTGGTAAGTTCTACAATATCATTAATAAAGTACTTGTTTATGTTATATATTTTTAACTAATAGCAAAACAGACTAATGTGCAGTATAATGTTAGACTAAGATAAAGCATTTATGTTGACTTCCAAGTCGTCAGCTCTGTGATAATTTGTTCAGTCCTCATAATCATCTCAAAAAAACTGTGCCATTTTAATTTCAGTTAAATAAGAACTCCAGTGCTCAAGATGACAGCAAGCTAAGTAACTTAAGCTTTACCTTAAAAAAGGATTTAAAAGCCTGTGCCCATGGTGCCTTGACACCACAACACTTTATCTGTGTAAACTCTACCAACTATTGGAACTTGTGAGGTTTTAGGTATTAGACCAGGATTAACAGAAGGAAACTTAGGCAGAGATTATATTAAGTGAAAATGAATACAAGACATTAGACATTAGTCTTTCATATTGGCCACTAAATCTTAGTTCCTTGTTTTGAACTATTCAGTTATGTCTGAGAAGGGGCATTAAAACCTTGACAGCAATTTTATTTGTTTGAACTGTAAGTCAGACTTCCATAGCAGTATGACCTAATGACTAAGAAAGCTACTGGTCAAGAAGATCCACATAAGAGAAATAATAGTAGCAATGCCCAAGGTAAGCAGTTTTGTTTTTTTTGTTTGTTTGTTTGTTTTTTGTAATTTAACCTGGAACATAATGTTAACAATTATTTTTGCCAGATTTCCCCGTCGTTGCTCTGGAATTAGACTCTGGTTAGTGAAGCAGTAACGTGGCTGTCCCCTGAGAAGCACAGCGTTAACCCTGTATTGTTATACATGCCACTTGTGGCAGTGACCGGGCCGTGGTTAATCCGAGGCAAGTCAGGGAAGGCTCCTGCAATTCCCGTGTAAAGTGTGTGCACTCTCAACATTGCAGAAATTGCTGCATGCTTCCCAGTGCATAACAGAAGCCATCTGCAACATATGGACCAAAGCAGAAACACTTAATAGTTACCAAAAGCATGAGGACTTGCAAAAGATAATGTCACTCTTAGTGTGGTTTGATATCTACTGCATGAGACAAAGTATACAACATCTTGTTTCTACACTCAAAATGGAATAGCTACAGAACTTCCCCAAAGGTTACAAATAATCATTGGGAACTTACAAATTTCATAAGACTTGAAAATACTTATGACACACATCAATAGAGCTCATAAAATGTAAATCAGTGAGATGTATGGATGAAAAGCATCTCTGCTATGTTAGCTGTCTGGTATCACTTCCGTAGTGCTGGGGCCGATAAATGTATCAGCTTCATTAGTAATAATGGATGAAAGATTTCAGATATTACACAAAGTTATTTGCCTGAATAACTGGGCAGCCAGGATTAATCATCCCCATTATTGTGTAAACATTGTACAATATACTCATGTACTGCAATATCCCATAGCTCCCTATGTAGTGCCCTCTTAATGCACACATCTTTCTGACATCAATTAAATAATTTAATTTATTGTTTAAAGATAAATGTTTAAAGATAATGTTCCTCACTGAGAACATGTGTAAAAGTAGAGATTTGAAGAAATAGTCTTTTGGAAGGCATTAACACTTGTGAAGTATGTATGTTTTCACCTAGTAACCATACTGCGAGAAAATTATCTACAGAAGTACTTAAATGGGGCTATCCTCTACGTAAAAGTTTAATAGATCTTTGGGTGACAAAAATAAAAAATAAAATAGCCATAGCAAATGAACAACCTTTAAATAAAATTTAAAAGTATGGAAATGCTATGTTGCTATGGAAAAAAAAAGAGTAAGTAAGCTTATAATGGTAAAATATTACAGGTGGGAACATGAGAATGTCTTCTCTTGAATGGTATGTGTATTGCCTGAATAAAATACTATGTTTGACAGTATATTCAGAGGAAGGAGAAAGGCTAAGTGTATATGATTTTGTTTTTCTATTCTGCATCTTCTTTGGATTTTTTCTGGTCAACATTAATACTCTAACTTTATTTTACTGGCTTGCCTTTTAAATTTAATTTTATTTTTAAGGGATAACAATATACTACCTGGTTAAAAAAAAGAAAATTAATACATCAGGGTTGGACAAGATAAACAGAAAGAAGGAAAGAGCCTGAGAGAAAGAAGCAGAATCAGAGACCCACTCTTTCACACATTCAGGAATCCCACAGAAACACCAAATTGGAAGCCAGAACTTTAACTGAAGGAGTAAAAACATTAAAAAAAAAATTATAAGTTAACCTGATTTATTTTTAACTAATATGAAAAATAGCCTGTGGACATACTTAGAAATACAGAGTTGATACACAAAATGCTTTGTCAGAGCATTTGCAGTAGTGACGGATTGTAATTCCCATGCTATGCAGGAGCATGAAGCCAGTAAAACCAAAACAACCCGTGATCTGGGTCCACTGAATAGGAAACACAATCATAGTGTTATGGTGGGTGGGAATACATACGAAAGGTAATAGACCAGAATGTGGCTTCCATGGCTGTGTGTGCTTGTTTCTTGATGCAAGGTCTGTGTGTTACAGACAGTCCTCTTACTTACTGTGTAGCTGAGAATGATGTTCAACTACCAATTCCTGTGTCTACCTCCAGAATGCTGGGATTATAGGCATGAGCCACCAGGCCTGGCTTAGAACTGCTTTACTGTGCTGACTAATATAAGACACTGGTACCTCCCAAGTATTAATGCTCAATATATTTGCATGAGGTGCCTGGAAAGTGAGTATAGAAAATAGTACTAATAGTACCTGTTTATTAGCTATCCATGTTGGCATATACATTGAAGTCTCAGCACTTGGGAGGCTGAGGCAGGAAGATTGCAAGTTCAAGGCCAGCCTAGACTATGTGGCTAGGCTCTGTCTTAAAATAACAACAACAAAAGTTTGTGTGGAGGAGTAAAAAAATAACCTAATAATGAAGATTATTTTATGATAGTTCATGTGTATGCATACACATAAGGAATTTTACCTAACCTGTTGAAAATTATATACCATAAGTACTTTCCCTAATAAACCTGTGTATACCCTAATACTATCTACTTTACAGAAGAGAAAACTGGGTATTTGTGCTACCCCAGGTAGTGTAACTAGAGAACCTTAAACTTAGACATTAAAGCTCTGGGACACTTGCTTTTAAAAGCCAGGTAATAGACATTTATGCATTGTCTTACACTGTTAATAATACTACATGTTTTTTTGTTTGTTTGCTTGCTTTTTTAAACAGTAAGGTATTATTTCTGGCCGATCTGTTAGGCTAGTAAAAATAAAACACATAAAAGTTGTTGGCCACAAGAGGGCATCAGATAACCTTTTTAGCATCAAAGCTAAAGGTTGGGTTCCAAGTAAATTTGAAAAGTTAGAGGTTATAGTCTTGAAATGCAT